CCATCCTTCCCTCCTATGCAGTTGTGTCCTTGGACCAATTTTCTAGCTGCAAAAGGAAGTGTCTAATGAGTTCCTAACAGTCTGAAAGGAGGGGCTGTATTGATGCAGCTTAGGGACATTGAGAAGACTTTCCAGCCGGAAGATGGTGGCAATGGCAGGCTTTCGTATCAACATAAGGAAGTTGAATTTCTCTTCAAAGAAAGATGCTATAAGAGGATGGAAAATCCAAGTTGGAAACTATCGTACCCCCTTTTCTCGCCCCATCTGAATCTGCTGTAGGCTAGAAATCCCGAGCAAAGCCGACGAGTCTCATACTTTCCCGGCCCCCAAGCTATGCTGTGTGTCCCCTGTGGCATCCCTCTTCTTGCTCCCTTGGGGCCTGTGGCCCTCATCCAACTTGCAGCTCTACAGGCCTCCTGAGTGTGGCCCCCGAGATGACTGAACAGTTGATTAAAAGCTTAAAACTCACCCTGCCCTGGCCAGGTGACTACGTTAATTGGAGCGTAGTCCTATAAACCAAATGCTTGCGGTTCAATCCCAGTTCTGAGTGTGTCTGGGAGGCAATTGATATTTCGTTGTCACATTGATGATGTCTCTCTCCCTCCCCCCGCCTTTCTCTCTCTAAAAAAATCAATAAACATATCCTGGGGAGCGTATTAGAAAAAAACACACACAAAAACTAATCTTTGCAATAGCATCCTCTGCAATGAACTGCATTTTGTATCTATACTCTTCTTATAGCAGACAAAGGCAGGTGGCAAGAAAAAAAGCCAATGTGAGAAATGTCAAAAAAAGGAAAACCCTCATTAGGAGAGGAGCATAGCAGGGCGGGAAGAGCTGACCGCCCCAGACCAGCATTAAGGACAGAATGGAGGGTCAGGCCCTGAGGCTGCTGGTGGATCCTGCAGAGCTGAGCCTCCGGTGTGAGCTTATGTGTTCTATGTACTAAGGCAAGGAAGGGCCTCAGATAGTTTGGAATGATTTTAGGCACTAAGGATTTTCTGCCTTGGTTCCTTCTTCCCTCCCTTTATACTGTTTCTGCTCCTTCAGTCTTTTCCTCAATATTTTGTACCAGGGTTATTAGCAGAACAAAACAAAACGCCACCCGCTTCACGAATCCCATTCTGCTGGTCATGACCAAAGGTTCATAAATGAACACTGCTCTCCTAAAATGGTTCAGATGCCCTGTTGTCCTCTCTCAGGTCCTCTTCAGGCTCAGCATTGCTGGAGAATGCAGTTGCTGCTGCTGTTGATGCAGTAGACATTGATAGTAGTCCTGATGGTAGTTCTCAGTTCTGTGTCCTGACAGTCCTTAGAGCTGTGGAGCCCAAGACATACAGGGAAGGATGGGAATCTTATGTAGGTGCTGATGACTCCATCAATTTTGTTGTTGTTGTTAATCCTCACCCCAGGATATTTTCCCATTGATTTTAGAGAGAGTGGAAGGGAGGGGAGAGACAGAGAGAGAAACCTCAATGTGAGAGAGACACATAATTGGTTGCATCCCACACAAGCCCCGTCTTGTGCCAGGGATTGAGCCCGAACCAAGGTACGTGCCCTTTGACGAGAATCAAACCCAGGACCCTTCAGTCTGCGGGCTGATGCTCTATCCACTGAGCCAAAAGAGCTAGGGTGACTCCATTAATTTTATTGAAGGACATTGAGTCGTTCTAACCAAAGCCTTCTACTACTGCCCAGAGAGCCATTGGTAAAAGTCTTTGATTTCATTCCCTTCTCTGTGGAGAGCTTTGCTGTCAGACTCTGCAGGTTTAATTAACACATTAACTTTTGAATGGCTCGAGCCTTTTTTTTTTCCTTTTCTTGGTAGAACACCAGGCTGGACTATTAACTTCTCAGGGGGCAAATCTGTGAAGTGGTATGTGGAGGACACAGAGCAGCTTTGTGTAGGGGATGAATGAATATACTGAGCTGCTTGCTGCAAATCCTTTGGGAGTTTCAAAAGTGCTGATATTTATAGTTTTGTTGGTTGCTTGTGTAAGCATAGCCCTCTAACTATGAATCCATGGGAGCAAATCTGGGTACTTTACTTGGTAGAATCACCAACAAGAGATTTGCATGGTGCTCAATTGATACTTTTGCCCCGTGATCATCTACTATGTACGAGGCACTGAGCAGGTCAAGAGGGATGGGCTTCCTGGCATATAAAAGCTTTGTGACCTCCCATCAAAGACGTGGGTGCGGTCTCAGATAGTTTAGGGTGATTTTTACATAGGAAAGAATTTCTGCCTTGCATTCATAGAAGACTCTCTTGAAAGGCTACTAAGAAAATTAAATATAAACATGCGCCATGTAGTTTTATAACATTTGTTACTATACCGTAGTTCTTTGGACATGAGACCACTATGGATTTCAGTGTGTAGGAGAGGCTTCACGGAGAAGGTGACCTTGATCTGGGCCTAAACAGACCACTGGCAGTCACTGAGGTAGGCACATCCGGAAGCCACCCCTGCCAGAGTGGGTAGCCTGAATGGGGGCATGGCAGGGGGAGTATGCTCAGGTGTGGATGGGAAGGAGACAAGTCAGAGGGTATCTTGTGAGAGAAGAACCAGAAAAGGATGTCACTGAGCTGCCTAAGAGAAGCTTGGCTTATTGGGTTACTCGGTATATCCACTGCTTGAGGGGCCTCTGGATGCTCACAAATAACACAGCAGCCCCTTGAAGAAGATAAAAACAAATTTTATGGGACATACCTGACTGGTCCCTGGGTTTGAATCCAAGCCTGGGGGATCAATTTAAAAAGACATAGAAGGGAAAGAAATACACACATACAGATGCTGGCATCCGGCAGTTCCTCATGGGAATGAATTCTGTGTGGGAGCATGGATAGCAATCACTTGGTGTAGCCATCTGATTTCTCAGAGTTTATATATGATCTTCAGCATATATGTGAATCAGCCATCACATGGAATTATTATTTTAAATCACCCTGATGCTGTGACACTGGCATAAATCTTTGTATATAAATATAAATATTAATATATATTTATATATAGACAGAGGCATACACAATGGTGTGCACTACGTTCTCTTTAAACTCATGCAAAGCAGTTCTGGGTTTTAAAAAAAGATAAGAGTAAGGGGAGAGGGAGCAGCAGAAGTCCCAGATCAGGTGCTTGCTGTTGACCTAGCAGTCTGCATGTTAAAGTGCAAGGTGTTCAGGACTTGCTGGGATGACAGCACAGGACTTGGGTCCTCCGGCTGCTTGGGTTTGAATTAAGAGTGAACGGTGCCCTCCTCTGTTATTTCTATGAGGGGAGCTGTGTCTTCTCTCCTTCGCACTCTTAAAATGAATCAGGCATGAAATGTACCCAGGAAAACTTTCTTCCCCAGACATAATGGGGCAGAAAAGAATAATAAGACTTGAAAGAAAGAAGCCACAGATGCTCCTTGGCCGGGTGCCCAAATGCTGTGTAGTCGGAGCCAATCGAACTGCTTGCTTTAGTAGCCAGATATCTCCGCTTTTTTTGGCTGTAGAATGTGTTTTGATCCAATGGACACAATGGTGTAGGAAGCTTTTTCAAGGGTCAGTGCTTACTCACTAGAGCTGCCTTGTTCCTTGGACATGCCGGGCGCATCTGCAGCCCTGGTGAGTCACTTGGTGAGTCATTTGACTCTTTGTTGAGTGCTGGGGCTGGGGCAGGAGGACAAGGCTGGGCCAGCAGGGTCCTCGGTACAGTGACTCACTATTCATTCACTCTGGGATTTGGCAAATGCAATGGTGGGAGTTTGGAGTTTGTGAGTGGGTTACAGACCAGGCATATAGCAGAAAGACGATGTTCCGAATGATATTTTTCAAGACAGTAGCCAAGAGACCAATGGAAACCAGGATGCCTACAGCATTAGGAATCTCTGGGCTACCATCAGAGGATACTTGCAGAGGCACAGAAGGGTTCCATGGTGCTGCAAAGAGTATCGGAGAGGAGCAGGGGTGTCATGTGAGCAAGGAAGACAGGAGAAGGAAGACATTAGGAGGGATGGAACAGTGGAGAGTTAGACCCTGTCTCCTGAGCAGAGTTTCTATGCAGTTGCCCTTGGAGAGTGCTTACACAGTGGCACACATGGACTTGAACCATTACCAGCTATATAACCATCTGTAAAATGGTCAAAATAACCTCATATATCACAGGGATGGGGTATGGACTAAATGAAATAGTACACGAGAAGCATTCGGATGACTAAGTAAGAACTTAGTCATTGCGGGCTGCTGTTGTAGCCTGAAGTTCTTCTGGTTATTCTTATGAAGACTAACATTGGCCTCTCTTGTCTGCAGGATATGTTCAGGTCTCCCTAACTTACCAGTCAAAGCCTTTTCCAAGTTGCCCTCAACATTTTCATCCAAACATATCTGGATAAGCCAAGCTTATTCATATCTTGTCCCTGCATATCTCACCTCTCTCCTATGTTGTTCCCTTTGTGAGTAATGCTTGTCCTATAGTTGTCAGTTTGAATGCAGCCATTCCTTCCAATCTCAAGGGAATCTCCACAAGGTCTGAAAAGCGTCCCTGATTGGCTGCTGAGCCTCCTTCCTCGGCATCCTTTTATCACCAGCTGCCTCATGCATCTCTCATTATTGTAGTCAGAGTCAGGTTGCATCATCTGCTCTTTGAGAGCCAGGACTAGACTTTGCACTTGTGTGTATCCCACACAGGCAGTGATCCGCATATGCCGGGTCAAGTGGTTCAGGCGACTTTTTCTCCAGGCAGAATGGGGTGTGAATCCCAGTCCATTCTACTATTTAGAGGGCATGCGATTTCCAGCAGATCACTTAATCCTCCCGAGCCTCAGTTTCCTCTCCTGTAAAATGGGGATATTAATATCTGCCTTGCAGAATGTATGGGGGGAGTAGAGGTGATATGTGGAGCATTTAGCTGGTCTGTGGCAGGTGCTCACTAAATGGTAGGTGCTCTTATTACTGTGACTGTTCTGATGAACTGATGTGTGTGTATTCAGTGGTGCTAAGTAATTTCTTTTCTCTGCAGTTATACAGCTCCGCTGAGTTTGGGAGAAGGTGGCAGCTTATCCAGGAAGGGGTTGTACCCAACAGGTTCTACTGGTGAGTCTCGCTTTATTTTGGACCGTATTAAGATGTCACCTAGTAAACAAGCACTGGATTCTTTTTCTCACCCGGAGCTCTCACATGAGGTCTGTTCTGGTTGGGATACGCGCACAGCCCCCTCAGGCAGGACCGGGCACTGGTGTAGCAAACATGTTAAGGGAATATTAGACATGTATCACAGATTACTTAATAAACCCCAGAAAGATGACTGAGATTAGTGAGCAGCCGGGGCTTTGGAACTGGTGTTTGGATGAGACTTGTGAGACAGACGCTTAACATTTTAATAGTGACATTTATTACTGAAACCATTATGCATGCATTTTTTTACATATTCAAATAAAACTTTTTATTGTAAATAAGTAGGCCTTGTTTAGTCTAAAAGCGGATCTTCCTCCCACTCCTGATTCCACGGTTTCTAGACCTTCTCCTTATCATATGGGAAGCAACCAATATTCTTAATTACTTACTTACCCTTCCAGAATGTTCCATGAATTACCAAATATATTCTTAGCTCAAGCTGCTTTCACAAAAAGACGTCGACTGGGAAGCTTAAACAACACATTGATTTCTCAGAGTTCTAAAGGCTGGGAAGTTCAAGATCAAAGTGCCGACATAGTTTCTTCCTGGTGAAGGCTGGAATGTTTCAGAGAATATGGCAGGATACTTCAGAGGGTGCCTTGGTTCTGTGTCCTCACAGGATGGAAAAAAAGAGAGGGAACACTGTGGTCTCCCTTCCTCTCTTTATAAAAGCACTAATTCCATCAAGAGATTTCACACTCATGACCTCATCTAAACCTATTTACCACTCGCCCTCCCCCCCGCCAAAAGACCTCATCTCCTGGTACTACCACTTAGGGGATTAGGGCTTCTACATATGAATTTGAGGGGGGCAAAAGCATTTAGCCCATAAATTTTCATTGACATAAATGTTAGCTTACACACCCTGTTCTGTGCCTTTTTTCTTTGCTCGTGTGAGGGGATGCAGTTAACAATACATGTCATCATTTTTTTTAATAGTTAAGTATCATTTTCCTCTAAGGATATAGATTGGAGGTAAAGTCTAGGCTTATTTAATGAACAGAAATAGACTGTGTATATTGGTGGATAAATGCAAGCGGGAAGAGAAATATGTGTGTGAGAGAGAGAAGATAAGGGGAAGGGAGGAGAGAGACAGACAGCAAATGAAAAAGAGGCAGAGAAAGTAACATAAGTATTGTTAAACCACCTGAGCCCATCTTCCTGATTAAACTAGAGATGGCTTCCCTCCATGGCCATGGTGACTACAGGTGACAAGAAGGGGAATTGCTAGCACAAGCTCCTTCGGCTTTTGTGTTTCTATGACCTGGAAACACAAAGTAACAACAAAGTATGCAACATTCTAGTGTAATTTGACATTACATGACAAACCCTTGGGAGTTTACATCCTAACCCTACCATAAGATGCGGCTCCTTACCCGGATGTATCTAATCTGCCCATGGAAAAGCCACTGAGGCTGTTTCAGACGTTTGCTGCTATAAACTGGGCTAGAAAGCACTAGCCCAGAGCAGATTGTCAGTATGCCTTCTTACATCATTCATAATCACAGGGGCAATGACCTTTCCGGAGCCAAGGATCTTCCTGCGAATAGGACAGTGACAGGTGTCTCCCTTCATGCCTCCTGAAATCACACTGCCTCCCATCAGCCTCTGGACTTGCATGCACTTCGAGGAGGAATGCATTTTTCTGTTTCTCATTTTCAAACATGGCCCTAAAACCCCTGTGGGAGTTGAAAGCCAGAGACGTGCATTAGAGAAATCTCTTAAAATGTGTGTGAAACTGCGTGAAAAAATGAAAGACAACCATTTACAAATAAACTGGTCAAAGATAACACATAGAGACCTCTGTGTGGAATATCTTTTTTTCCCATCATAAAAATACAGTTATAGCCCAGCCGGCATGGCTCTAACTGTGGTTCAGCATTGACCTATGAACCAGGAAGTCATGGTTCAATTCCTGGTCAGGGCAGATGCCAGGGTTGCGGGCTCAATCCCCAGTGTGGGGTGTGCAGGAGGCAGCCAATCAATCATTATCTGTCATCATTGATGTATCTATCTCTCTCTCTCCCTCTCCCTTCCTCTCTGAAATCAATAAAAATATATTTAAGAAAGACATTTTTAACCGAAGGAGGTTTTTGTGCCTAGCAGCCATTCCCCTCTTCTTGCTCAGGAGTGGCGGGAGAGTTGTTTTGGAGTCCACATGGGCCTCTCCCTTCTCCAGGAACTCAGCTCTAGCGATCCCCGAGTCTCCCTCCTCTGATCCTCACTTCTCTTTGTCTCCTGCTCTTTGTGTCCCTTATTCCTGAGTCACTGCACCTCTGTGTGTTTTGCCTGGAAATTATAAAGTCATTTTGGGAAAGAGGGTCCATGGCTTTTTGTTAGTTTAGTTTCTCTTTCACTTGGTGTTATATGTACACAGAATGGCCTTGGAAAATAAGTGAAGGCCTGCATGACTGTGGTCCTGCTTTAACCTAGAAATGGAGTTTGTGCTTTGCCAATGAGAAGGTGTGAGGGACACACCTTTTCTCAGGTCCCCCTTCCAAAGTTCTGAAAATATCTCCACGTGAACCCAGCCCTAGAAGGCAGAAAGTTACAATTCATAGAGCGCTGAGTGGAAGTGTATTCCTACCCAGAGGGACAAAGAAAAGCATTGACTAAAAAATTGGACAAGGCAAAAGGACAGAGATGAGAATATTTCCCATGTAGATGGCACATGGTACACAATATTCCATGGATCACTGAAGGTCTTGTTTCCACACAGCATCATGAGGTGAATGGGCCCCATCATTGCTTCAACGAGTGCTAATTGTGATCCATTCTTTTCTATTCTTTGAATGAGGGTCTTCTATCTGAAAGTCTGGTTATCTATGGAAACCCTTGTAACCAAATGTCATAACGGGACCATCTTTATAAAAACTTTACACATGGTTGTGTAAGAATTCTAATCCATCTGTCTGCTAAGTAAAATAAACAGCACCCCTCCCTCCGCCTTGGGAAACAGAAAGGTACATCTTCCCCATTCAAGCCCTAACAGTGTGATCAGCTTTATGCAAAGCTATTTAATCATAACAATTTTATGAAGTAAGCTTTGCATTATCATCAAGAGATGGGGAACCTGTGGCATGAAGAGGTTAAGTAATTTAGCCAAGGTTACACAGTCAGACAGTGACACAGCCAAGATTCAAATACAGCTTGTCTGTCTCCAATATCTATGCCCTACCAATTCAATGCACTCTGTAGCCTCTGCCTGTTGGTCTTCTCTTCTGGCCTGGGGCAGTGAGCCCTAGAAATCAGGCCCATTCAGGCAGATGAGGAGAGAAAACCCAAGGCCCTTTTGACCACCATGCCTGCATGTGTATCTCTCCGCTGGTCTTGGCAAATGGACCCTGGGGGTTATTTAAGCTCCGTTGTTGTTGTCCAGAGAGGGCATAAGACCTGGTGAATTGCACAGTGAATAAGACTATTAATGAAAATCTCTTGGTCTCTGTCCACATGGTCTGTATTTTCTGACTCTGTTCAACTTTCTGGACTGGCAGACAAGGTGTCAATCAAAGGAATATATGTTAGACCTACTGCTGGAAACCAGTTAATTCAAATTACATAGGAACTTCGGTGATGTCTGGGATTATTCAGAAGGTGTAATGCAAAGAAGCTCCTTTAATAATTTCAGCTTTGAGCCTGGTTGTAGAGTTGTGGAAGGGACTCAAGGAAACTTTCTAGTGCTAAATTGAGTTGTCACCCTGAGTAGTAACATAGCATTTCCCATAGAGAAAAATGAAGATCAATGGACACATTTTCCTAATCAATTAGTACATTTGAGATATATTTTTATTTTGGGTGGCATTACTATTGCCTGAAAGTAGTCATTGGCAATTATAAAATAATTATAGAATATAAAAGCTTATCCTTATACTATCTCAGTGGTTGCTGTTGGTACTACCATAGCTAACATAAAATGTAAGTATTCCTCTAAGAAGTACAAATTGCTTCCAAAACCAAGTTTACATGTATAGGGTATATTATAAAACACAATATCACCCTTCAGAAATCAATTATATTGGGAGGCAGTACCGACTGGAGGTTAGGGGGCTCAGAGATAGGAAGTGTGAGTTCCAGCTTTGCCATTTGCTAAGTAATGGATCACAGGGTAGTTCCTTAATCTCTGTGTGCCTCAGTTTTGTTCTCTGTGAAGTGGGCACAATACCTACTTTATTAAACTAGATGTTTCTTGTAAATTGGTTATATTCTTGGCACCTAAGAATTGTCTTGAGTGCCCACTGACTCATAGTAATAATATTATTAAGAGTGGCTGACTCTCTACATCTATCAGTTTTATTGGCTGCCTTCTCCAGTTGGCTTTTCTTAATTTGTGGCAATGAGGGACATCATCAGCTTTGACTCCCCATTAACCCAGTCTGCCTCTTCCCCTCTGTGTCCAAGGATTGAATCTGAGTGGCCTGGCTTGGATCAGGGTTATATAAGGTGATGCATTACTTGTTTAGATCAGACATATATCTACTCTAGGAACTAAAATAGGAGATGGGATTGAGACCCAGTCAAACTGCATGGTTCAAAGATGAGGGTTCATGATTTAGATGACTCCTAAAAAGGAAAAAAATCGATTTGGTTAACATAAAATGGGAGGGTAGATTCTCATTGGGTATCTAAGATGGGAGGACTGATTGTCCCCAAGATAAAATTTCATAGTAGGTATTCATATGTGTTAAGTAAATGCAATGGTTCAGGAACTTGATAACCCATACTACTTAATTCTCAAAATAAGATTGTGAGGTAGGGATTCTTACCCTCATTTTGATAAAATTATGTAATTTATCCAACATAATACATAATATGCAATACAGTCAAGTTTTGGAACTTGGTCTGTCTGGGTTCATGGCTCTTGTTTTCAGTAGCAAAGATCAGCCCCAAATTCAAGACCTATTTCCCACCCACATCCTCCA